TCCTGAAACTGGCTCTGTAGACCAGGCTGGCCTTGAACTCACAGAGAATCGCCTGCCTTTGCCTCCTGAGGGCTGGGATTAAAGGCATGTGCTACCACCACACAGCTCCAAGTTTATTCTTTTTTTTAAAAGCATTTAAAATTTCCTAACTTATTCTAAGACACCAAAACAATACAAAGCAAATTTACAGACTAATAATATTTTTCACAAACACAGACATAATAATTCTTAACAAAACATTAGCACACTGGAGCCAAAGCAGCAAGAGCATTTACTCACATCTAGATGGTGGCCTACAATTGTCTTTCTGGCCTCAGCTGACACCAGGGAGGAAAGTGGTATATCGATATACATGTGTAGGCAAAACACACATACATATAAAAATAAAAATAAATAAATTTAAAGAAAAAAGTTCAAAGAATCATATTAACACTTGTGGACTAGAGAACACAGTAACTTTTAAGATTCTCAAGCTGAGTATGGTGGCATATGCCTTTAATCCTAACACTGAGAGACACATCTCTGTAGGTTCGAGATCAGCCTGGTCTACAGAACAAGTTCCACGACAACTAGGGCCACACAGAGAAATCCTGTATCAAAAAGCAATAAACAAAATAACAACAAAAGAAAATATGATACTTGACTTTAGAGACAAACTATTTTTCTAAATATACTTCAGGAACTCCTTCCATCTATCTACAGAAAGAAGTTTGTTACTGTGTGCTCCAAGAGAATAATCTTTAACAGCAAAATATGGAAGCTAAAATCTATTATATATATATATATAATGTATTATGAAGATGACTAGTACACAGCAACAAATCTCAATTACAATGAATGAATACTATACGATTATGACTATAAAATTCAAAACATTTGGAAAAATCAAACTAGATTTAGATGCTCAAGTGCTATCACTAACAAGTGATAGCGGAAGACTAGAAGGTGATCAACAGTTCAGCAGGAAGGCAAACCTAAGATCAAAGTAACAGAAGAACCTGAGCTGAGGACTATCACTTGACTTCTCAACCTCTGTGGAACAGTCAACACCAAATACATCTACAACCACGGGAAGCAACCAGAGCTAACTCACCAATGAGAACAAACTCAGGGAAAAAAACCAAACAAACAAATAAATTTTCCATCCAGAATTAGAACCAATTTCTTCAGGATTCCGGCACTAACTGAATATCAGCAGCTCTTCAGCAATCCTTTAGTACCAAATTGAGACTGCCAAGACATCTATCCAGTCTTGTGGATAGACCAACTATTGGATTTCTCAGCCTCTCCAGTCTGAGACAAGGTACTATTTGACTACCCAAAATAAGAGAATATATGTAGTCAACTTGCCAAAGTCACTAACAGGTAATAGAGTAAGACCAGTGTTCTCTATTCACTGCCTGGCATTTAACCAAACAGAACAGAAGAAGCAAAAGCAAGAACAATGCTTAAGAAAGAAACGGATATATTAGTTTGATGTGGGATTCCCCTCTGTATGCTGTGAATACCATTGGTTAATAAAGAAACTGGCTTGGCATGATAGGGTAGAGTAGAGCTAGGCAGAGAAAACTAAAGTGAATGCTGGGAGAAAGAAGGGCGGAGTTGAGAGAAGCCATGGAGCTGTCACCAGAGACAAACATGATCAAACCTTGTCAGTAGGCCACGAGCCTCATGGTAAAATATAAAATAATGGAGATGGGTTAATTCTAGATGTAAGAGAAAGCTAGCCATATGTTTAAGTAATTGGCCAAGCAGTGATTTAATTAATACAGTTTCTGTGTGATTATTTAGGGGCTGAGAAGTCAGGAACAAACAAGCAGCTCTCCTTACAACACTACTTCTACACAAATCCCCCCACCCCAATAAACAGAGACACAACTCATTTTATGAGGTCTAAAGAACAAGCCAAAAAGGCTCCAAGAAGACATTCTTCCTGATCACAGATGTCAAACTAGTGCAGCAAAGTAGAGAAAGGATATCCAAGCAGATCTGAAAAAAAAAACCCATGGCTTTTCCAAAACAATCCAAATCTGAAAACAACCCAAAAGCCTATAAACACACACACATGCAGCACTAACACATACATACAAGTACTGTCTTGTGCAGTTTCTCAATAACAGGAAGAAATGACTAATCCTACAGCAACAAGGATGCTCTCAAAAGCACTGTGCTAAATGGCACAAGTTTATGGGCGCTATGGAAAATGGAGAACTGTAGGGATAATACTTAGGTCCAAAATATACTAAAGCCTGATTAACCTGAGTTGAATTCCTGGGACCTATATGGTGGAAAATAACCAACTTTGACGCTATCTTCTGACCTCCATACAACATTCTGTGGCTCCCCTATACATGCATACACATGCACACAATTTTTTTTTAAGATTTATTTATTTATTTATTATGTATACAACATTCTGCCTCCGTGTATGCCCACACGCCGGAAGAGGGCGCCAGATCTCATTACAGATGGTTGTGAGCCACCATATGGTTGCTGGGAATTGAACTCAGGACCTCTGGAAGAGCAGCCGGTGCTCTTAACCACTGAGCCATCTCTCCAGCCCACATGCACACAATTTTAAATGAAGAAATATAGATATAATGGGGAGAAGACTATGAAAAGAGGTACCTACATGGATGAATAATGCTTCTCCTAGAAGTCAGGGGTTATTAAATAAAAATGTCAGTAGTAGTTGTGGGATATGACCCCCAAAGTCTCCCCAAACTGTACAGACTATTGTCACTTCTTTTGATCATCCACCAAGCTAGATGTAAGACCCTATTGTTGAAGGTATTATGTATCTTGATTGTAGGACATAGAGAAATCAAGCCAGAACTAAGCTTCCAGCTTCCTTCCTGCTAGCTAGCTTTCATAATGACGGAAGGTCCTGTACTCTGTAAACCACTGAAGCAGAAATGTCATCAGTACCAGATATAAACCCTATGAGTTATAATTAATTACTGCCAGACAAGATATATCCACTGTAACCATAATGGCATTGATATTTTGTGAGTAATCAACTGCCTCCTGATTGGGTATAAGGCCTACTCCATAGGAGGGAATCCATGTCTGGTCTCTAAACCTAGCCTATGACTGGTGAAGTCATGTGCCCTGGTGGGGAACCTATTACTGTTTTGTTAAATGGACACATTATCAAACTACTTTCTAAATACCTACATGCACATCCACATAGCAATGCTGCTCCTAGCTTTGGTAAGAGAAGCTTCTTTTGCAGTGGGCAGCAGTCAATGAATACACTCACACTAATCAAAATGCTAAGAATAAGTGACAGTTGAAAGTTGAACACTAAAAATGACATCTGTATCACCTCCTTCAAGACTCAGCAAACATCACAGAAGAGAGAATAGAAAGAATGTTAAGAGCCACAGGATGGGGAGAAGTGCTATGAAACATTGTCTTCTGGACATGACACGATTGTTATACTTAAGTGGTCACAGCATCTGTGCTTACCTGAGCAATATGGGCCCCATCAACATTCCATCATAGATTGATTGGGAAGTTGTTCATAAGGCTTCCATCTGTCCCCAAAGAGCTAATAGTAGTTAGCTAATGGTTGCTGGGGAGAATTGTCATTTTCTTCACTGGCATAGCCACTGTTAAGTTGTCCATACTATAGTAAATAAGCCTCACTTCCAATATTCATATAAATAACCCTAATCAAACTCCCTGGGTCATAAAACAAACAAACAAACATGAAAGTCGGAAAGCACTTGTGAAGGTTTTAGGAGGGAGAGGGAAAAGGATAAGGAAAGGTACTGGAAGAAGGGGAAATAGTCAAAATTTAATATAAACTTGTATGAAACTGGAAAAAAATCTGAGATGAAAATTTCAGACTGATTATGTTCTGAATCTCTGGTGAAGAGATTGCAGAGGATTTCAGAGGTCCTGACAGTTCAATTCTGAGAAACTACATGGTGGCTCACAACCATCTATAATGAGATCTGATGCCCTCTTCTGACAGACAGACAAATATGCAGGCAGAACTGTATGCATAATAAATAAACAAACAAACAAATAAATAAATCAGGGAGGGAGGGAGGGATCGAGGAAGGAAGGGAGCGAGTGAGCAAGCGAGCTAAGGGAGAAAGACAAAGCAGGAAACTTTCCAAAGCAGGGCCGAGAGGAACACTAACTTCTAGTTTGATCAGCACTGATTCCAGGATTAGTTACTAACACTCTGCCACCAAAACTGGCATTGAAACTGAGGGTGAGGTGTCTTCAAGGAGCCCCTGGCTGGGCAGTCAGATGAATAGTCAATGAGGAAGAGGAGTAGACCTAGGAGGTGGAGAGCCTGGTCCACAAATGCTTCTCAAACTGCCACTGGGACTAACCTGAAAACAAAAGGCAGGAACTGCTGCTTGTTGCTCACCACAAGAAGCAAGGGATCAGAAGAAAAATCACTCAGAAGAGGGCTTCTTACATTCAGTAACCAAAAGGAAAGAAGAAAAATAAAATAATAAAAGGGAAGAAGAGTCTTGAATATGGGAATGGTTGAAAAAGTCATCGCCTAGAACACAAAGAGATATCAAAGCCTAATGGGAAAAGCAGCCACTAAGCCTTAACCTATATCAGAGATTAGATCAAGCCTAATGGACTCAAAGACTCTAGTGAGATAAGCATGAAATCGAGGAAGGAGGAAGGCCAGGATTCAGAAGGGCAGGAAAAAACTTTTCAGTCATTTACCAGTACATGGAACTGTCTAGAACTCAACAAATGAAAATTCTTCTAGCTTTTCAGGGAACTTTATTGTCAAAAAACCCCTAAGGCCAGATGCAAAAGTCAAAAGCACCAAATAGCTTGCTGACTGCAGATAAGGAAGCAGATGCTCTTCAGACACAATCCAGAGAGTGAGCAGAGGCCAAAAGATAGTGTAGGAGGAAGCATTCCAATGACAGGCGGAAATCCTTTCCTTTCATTGCCAGTTAGCCCACCACCCACAAGAGAAGAGCAGGAAGCCCGTTGAAGCTGCAGCCACTCACCGGCTGGTCAAGACCGCTGTGCCTCTCCTCCTTCTCCACAGTCCTCCGGCAGTCTGGGCATACCCACAGCGGCAGGTGCAGCACGCTGTTGCCCTTGGGAGCCATGGAAAGGGCAAATTTGCTCGCAGTCTTAACTCCACTCTCTAAGAATGAAGAGTCTTTCCGTTCACTTCTGCATAGAAGACAATAATCCCCAGCGGGGTAGGGTGGTGTCCTATGATTCATGCCAAAACTAAAAGGAGTCTGGAATAGAAAAAAAATTCTATGTTCAAAACCTGAACCAGGAAGCCAAGATTGTTGTTTGTTTGTATGTACGTATGCATACATGTATATGCATATATATATGTATGTATATAAACATATGTATATTTATATCGAAAAACAAAATAGGAGACGTATTCTAGAAACTGGTGACATTTCAAATAAAATAGGAACACCATAAAGAAGCACTTCACCCTCCACTTAGACTCAGTCTGCATTAATTCTACCAGGAAAACCATCAGCACAGATCTTCAGACCTCAACCAGGCATGAAATCACTACAAGAAGTATTTGCACACAAAGGCTTGCACCAAGGCAGTTTGGCTTGAGAGCATCTCTGAAGAAAGTCATCCCTGGTCTAGACTCCAGAGAACAGAGAATCTCAAGGCAGCTGTATCCCCAAGATCCAAACTTTCAAGCTATGTGATCATGATGCTGAATTTATAGCTTAATTCCAAGACTATGGGGTAAATGTAGGAGAAGGGACCTGAAGCAAAGGATCCTCTGCCCTTGGAATACACAAAGAAGTTAAGTCTCATAGGTTTGGAAATAGAAAGTGCCAAGGCCACCAAACAGGGAGCAAGATTTTAAATCAAAGCAGAAAACTGAGATGGATCCTCCTCCTATATTATATAGCATTACTGTCTAACAGCTGAGGGACACCTGCAGGCATAGGGCAGCCCCAGAAGGCAGAAAGCGCCTTGCACATTGCAATGGCATACAGCAGATCTCTCTTAAGCCTCTCTTGTCATTGGCATCAAATAGGAAGGAAGAAAATCTCATTCTTCTCTAGTGCTCAGCTGGCCTTGCCAAGCCAGCTCCTCAGATCGTCCCTTAATCCCATGGCTCTCCCTGCACTATCATCAATATTCAACCTGACTATGAGTGTGCATTAACAGCACAACTAACCCATGAGAACCCAGAGTTCCCAAGTGGACGTTAGGCTACATAGAGGCATTGGAGCTGAGTAAATGAATTCTTGACTGAAGGAAAGTCTTTCAATTTTACATGCTCTGATAAATCAGTGGTTGAAACAATATGTATCCATTGTACCCACTAGCCTGAATTTAGCAGTTATTTCAGTGGGTGACAGGGTGAGGCAATTCTCCAGTTAGGGCCTGTAAACCACCCAAAAAAAACAGTACAAGAATAACATATTTTTCCTATACCAAAAGACCTGGTATGTCTACATTATGAGAATTTCAAAACTCACCTCACTTAAACCTGTCTGTTTCCTGTCACAGAGTAACCACAACCACCAGAGATCACAGGCTGTCCATGTACATGCTAGGTTCAAGTGTACCACAGACCAGGCCAGAAATGCAATGTGACAGCCAGAAGTGACAGAAGACACCAACTTATTCATCACCAATGCAAGGATCCAAAAGTGTTTTAAGATTTCAGCTTTAGGGCTGGAGAAATGGCTCAGAGGTTAAGAGCACTGGCTGCTCTTCCAGAGGTCCTGAGTTCAATTCCCAGCAACGACATGGTGGCTCACAACCATCTATAATGATATCTGGTGCCCTATTATGGCGTGCAGGCATACACACAGGCAGAACACTGTGTGAGTGTATATATATATAGACAAATAAATCTTTTTAAAAAAGATTTCAGCTTTATTCAGACTCTAGGATATTTGCATATATGTTAAAATATATCTGGGGGTAGGCCCAAAATTTATGACTATGAAGATTTTGATTCAGATATACCTTACAAAGACAGAAGCCAGTGTCATTCCATTCATATTTTTAAGTGCATCTACATTGTGACTGCAACCATTAGGTGAGGTCAGGTAAGGGAAATTTATCAGTGACATACTGATACTTAAAAAAGTTTGGACATGGCAGTACTTCAGATATCAGGGATGCTCAACTAGTACTCACCAGAAGTCCACCATGTACCTGGGCACCAAGGTACTGTACTGAGTAAGCAGAGATCTCTGTCTAGTGGAGCTAATGTCCTCACCAAAGCAAAACCAAAGATCAGGGATTGAAATGCTAGCTACAATTCTAACACTCTAAGGCTAAAGCAGAAGTGTTTTAGGCCAGTCTAGTGTAGAACCTTTCTTAAAAACAAACAAGCAAGTAAAAAAGATATAAGTAAAAATGTATTTTAGGAGCAACTCAGAATGCCAGTGTTGGGAAGAGGGCTCTTTCATTTAGGTTGCAATGAAGGCCTCCATCAGGAAATACCTACAGAGATGTCACCTGCACTTAAATGTAGAAGAAGCACAAAGATAGCAGGGAATGAAGAGAGAAGAGTCGGAGAGAACACCAGCCCCAGGACGCAGAAAAGAAAGCTTACAGGACTAGTACTGAGCCGAAGAGAGACCTGAGACAAGATGGGTCAGGAACAGTTCTGAAAAAGACACATCTATACATATCTGAAATCTCTACTCTGGACCATCTTTTAGGAGAGACAAGAATGAAATGCAGAGAGCAGAGGCACTGTTCTTCTAAAGGACATTGAACAAGCAAACTCAGAGCTACGCGGGTGGTGGTTTCTTAGTCTTTGTTTTGTTTTTGGGATGGTATCTTTCTGTATTACTCAAACTGGCTGCAAAATCCTGGGCTCTGACAATCCTCCAACCTCAGTATCACAAGCAGATTAAGAACAGGTTTGAACTATCGAGAGTGATGGGGGGGGGGAGCAAACCAGAAACCCAAAGGAAATTACTTACAGACCCAAGAAAGGGGCAAAGCAGTATACACATCTGAATATGCTCTGGCTACCATAAACACAGCCAAGGAGCTAAAGCTTCTGCAGCAAGTGGGCGCTGTCAGAAAGGATATGCCAGCCAAGCTTCTGGTTCTCACACAAGAGAAGACATGACCAATTATCCATCTTAAAAAGAAATTTTACTGTATGAAAAATGAACTCTATAGGACAGTGACATAAGCAATGCTGCTACCGGCAGTTCTAAGAGAAAAGGTAGCTTATACTTATGAGAATACAGACTATATATACAATACAGAAGAGCAAGGTAAGACCCACAGGTGCCTAACAGGTCAATGACTAAAAACCACAGGGAAATCCTAAAGGATAGTTCAGGCTAGACCAATGGCAAGAACCAAAGGTCAGCTTAGATGCTGCTCTCATAAGCTGCAACATACAATGTAGAGTTTGTATTTGGTGTTCATGAATAAGATACTAAGGAAGATGGGGTGCAGTTGCATATATAACTAGGTATCATAAGTACAAATTATTTGAAAGTTACAGAACTAGGGGCTAAAGTATTTAAGCACTTGCTGTGCAAGCATAGAGCCAGTTTGGATCCCAGAAACCCATGTAAATGTTGGTTGGGTGTGGTGGCCCACCTGTAATTCTAGCATGGGAAGGAAAAAATGGGGGATCTGTGTTTGACTGTATCAAATAAGGTAGAATACTTATTGAGAATGATTCCTAACATCAACTATGTCTTCCACCTGCCCGTGCACATAAGTACCCACATACAAGGGTCCACAAACATGTAATTGCACATATGTCTCATTGTGCTTGTGTATGTTCTTGCATTGTCTATGGTCCAGTATCTATTCAAATCTTTTTTTTTTTTTTTAAATATTTATTTATTATGTATACAATATTCTGTCTGTGTGTATGCTTGTAGGCCAGAAGAAGGCACCAGATCTCATTACAGATGGTTGTGAGCCACCATGTGGTTACTGGGAATTGAACTCAGGACCTTTGGAAGAGCAGGCAATGCTCTTAACCACTGAGCCATCTCTCCAGCCCTCTATTCAAATCTTTGACCTGGATTAAGTTTATCAGTCTGATTATTCCAAAAAGAATTAACTTTGATTCAATGAGTTTCTGTAGGGTGCTTCCATTTTTATTATGGTGGTTACTTCTGTGTTATTTTCACTTTCTGGTAACTTCCGACATTAATGACTATAAGCATTTTCTACTTTGTTAAGGTGGAAAATTAGGTCATTAAGCCCTTCCTCTTGTATAACCCAGGTTATTAGTCATATATCTATTTCCATCTGTGCTCTACTTTAGTTATATCTATTTTTGATGTGTTTTTAATTCTCCTTTAGTAAAAAATAATTTTAAATTTCATCTTTTTTGTTTGTTTGTTTGTTTTTAAGACTGGGCTGGGGGCTGGAGAGATGGCTCAGCGGTTAAGAGCATTGCCTGCTCTTCCAAAGGTCCTGAGTTCAATTCCCAGCAACCACATGGTGGCTCACAACCATCTGTAATGGAGTCTGGTGCCCTCTTCTGGCCTGCAGGCGTACACACAGACAGAATATTGTATACATAATAAATAAATATTAAAAAAAAAAGAGTTGGCCTTTCTATGTTAGACCAAGTTGGCCTCAAAACTACAGAGATCCATCCACTTACCTATGCCTCCTGAGGGCTGGGGAAAAGGCATGTACCACAACACCTGGCCAAATTTCACTTTTGGTTTCTTCTTTGACAAATACTTAAGTATGGCTAATTTGTCAGTATTTGGGGGTTTCTATATATCTGATACTGAGTCAAAATATAATTCTGCTATCATCAGAAAAGACCCTTAGTGTAAATTAAAATCTTCAACACTTGACTACTGAGACTTTTTTAGTGATACAAAACATGATCCAGATTGGTGGATGTTCACTGTAAAAGTCAGCATCTTCCTAGATGAAAGTGGCCAACTATGAGGCCTTGGAAAGGTCTAGATCAAAATACATAACCCTGGGTTAGAATAGCTACTCCATACAACCATCCACACTAATCCTCAGATCTCTTCTTCTACTTCACCTCCAACTGTACAGGAATGGCTCACAATGAATGTAACCATAACAGCTGCTACTTCAAATCCCTTCTGTGACTCCATTTTCGAAAATAAATGAGTCCTCAGCGAGGCATCATGCAAGACTTAATAAGGCTCTCAGACAGTTGGGAGTTCCCTTTATAAACACAGTTAGTTATCTAGTTGAAATGGACAGTTCCACATTTCTATTCCATTCAGGACTGTGGTTTTCTCTCTTTGCTTAAAGAAAA